AACAAACAAAATAAAACAAGAAAAAAATATGTTCAAACAAAACAAGAAAACAATGTTTCACATATTATGTAACATTCATTGTTTGTTTAAGAGATTTTTTTTTGTAGTTTTAAATTTCAAAACTGGAAAAAAAAACAAAAAAAAAAACAAAGGTCTTTCCTGTCATCATATTAAAGATTTTGTTTGTTTTTTGTTTATTTAGGAATTTCCGGGCAGAATCGTTCTTTTCGACAAACAAACAACAACAACAAAAAATTCTGATCTTTTGTTCATCCTTGTTGTTTATTCATGTTGTTTTTTTTCATACGAAAAAAAAATTTCAAGTTTTAAATAATGATGAAAAACGGTTTCATTGCCCTTTCAACTTCCGTCATTGTTTGATTCATTCCATTCGATTGATTGACAAATTTTTTTTTGTTTCTTGTTGTTGTTGTTCAAGCAACAACGACAAGAAAAGAAAAAGAAAAACTAAAATAATAATAGTGGTCATCCTTTAGCTTTTTTTCTTGTTTGACAACAAAATGAATACGACCTTTTTTCCCTCTTCAATTCAATTCAATTCCAACTTTCATAAATCATTATCATAAATGGTTAGGTTATATCGATAGATATATTTATTGTTCTTGTCTTGTATTCAAATTGAATGCAGGGGATAAAAAGTCCGACTTTGACCACACACACACATCATTGATGTTTTTCTCCGTTTAGATGCAGAATAATGAACTTAATAACAATGACATCCTTATTATTGATTGAGATCCATATTGTAAAAACAGTTGAAAACGAATGATGGAAAAATTGGATAAATTCAATGATAATACTGCCTGTTCATTGTTAATGTCAATGTGATTTGGAAAACACGAAAATTTTTACTTGTCGTCGTAAAAAGCCATATGTTATCCATGTGTTTTATACATGTCTTTCACAAGCTTTATCTGTCATCATCATTATTATTATCATAGTTGTTGTGGTCGTAAACATAAAATGCCATTTGCAGAGATTGACATTATCATGATTTAAAAAAATAATCCTTATTAGATCGATTAATCTAATTTTCATCATTTGGAAAAATCCAAAAACTAAATGTTTAGTTTTGTGGGTGGTAAATAAATAATAATATCGATTTCATTTTTGGGATAATGGTGATGGTCATTAATATTACCACTACGAAAAAAAAAACAACAACAACATCCATTAAACATCCATACAATATACATGAATAAGATTATTATTCTTACAAAAGCTATTTATTTATTTATTCATTCTGGTCTATGGATCCATTTTCTATGGTTTCCTAGAATTTTTTTTCTATTGGGTTGGTCTAAATTAGTATCGGAAAAAAAGAATAACAACAAAATCAGAATGGTGTTGGCTGTATGAATAATGATGATGATTATTATTGCCATTTACAAAAAAATTTTATTCTATGTTTAACACTTTAACATAAACAACTATCCAGGGTTATTTTTAATAGTTGAAAATAATATGATTTTTAACTAAGAATAGATTTTCTGTTTTTATTTAAAAAACCAATACAGACTTGATAATCCTACCTTAATGATGAAATTCTGTAACTCTATTAAAATTTCTTTAGAAAAATAATTGAAATTCCTTACACACACACACACGCACACATAAATAATCCACCACAAACACACATGATAATTTAATTTAATTTTTTGGAATTTTTTTATGAAAATTGTCAATGGAACAAAATGGAAAAAATTTGAAAAAAAAACTTTAATTTAAAAATTATCACGTTCATATATGGTTGATGAATATTTTGTCATTGATTCCAAAAGAAAACAAAAAAAAACAATTTTACATGTTTGTCGAGAATACCGACCAATTGTGTATGTTTCACAAAGACATCTGCAAACACGTATTTTATTTTGGGAAAATTTTTCATTCATTAACATATCCATTTGCAAAATGTCCATACAAAAAGAAAATCAAATATTTTTTTTTTGTATATCATCATGTGATATACCATGTTATTATTGTTTCAAATTACAATGCCAACATTTTTATCATTAACAGTGTCACATTCATTTGAATTAATAAAATTTATGCAGGAAAAAAGTCTTCGTTTTTTTGTTTTCAATGAAAATATTCCATGTTTTTTTTCCTTAAAATGAGCAAAAGGCATTGATCTTTAAATGAATAATGATTGATGAATTAAAAACATTTTGACGATTTCCTAATAAATGTTCGCCTATCAATTTGTTTCGATTCAGTTCATTGATACTGAAGCTATTCTTTGATTCGATAAGGATGTTGACCATCATCAGCATCATTTTCAAACAATTGAATTCTTTTCAACAACAACAACAAAAATGAATCAAATGGATGCGGTTGGCTAGACACACCAACTTAAACATCAACTTTTTTTTTGGTCAAAAAGAAATGATTGATTTTTTTCATAATTTTCTTTTCTATTTCAATCATTATTCTTTTTCATTGTTTAATTGTTTGATTTTTATTTGTTTTGTATGAATTTCTGTTTTTTATTGCTTTTCTTCAAATGAACAATATTGTTGTTGTCTATCATTATCATCATACATTATTCTTTTATTTTCTGTTGTTGGTTTGTTTTTGGTTAATTGTATTTCTTGGGTTTTATTTTTTCACATTATTCATTCAATGATTGTTCAATTGGCCAAAAATGAACAAACCACACAATGAATCAATGAAATCAATCAATCACAATAAATCATTTGCCAATTCTTTTCCTTTTCTTCTTATTGTTTGTTTGTTTAGTTTGTTTTTCGTTCTTTTTTGGAAACAAGAATGTTTGCATTCTTTTTTTTTCTTTTCAGTTTAAAAGTCCTTGTATAAATTATAGGCAAATAAATGAATGAATGGATAAATGTTGAAAATTGACAAAAAAATGATAAATGAATTAATTGCATCGATACATTTGTAATGTTTTTTTTTACAAAATGACATTGTATGATGATAATTATTGCAACAAAACATCGTCATCCGTATTTGAATTTTAACAAATCTAAAATATTTTAACAAAAATTAAATGCTAATAATGAATGGTTTCAAATCAATGAATGTAACAAACATTCGACCATTCAGACAGAAAAAAAATTTGAAATCAATTTTTTTTTTCGTTGAAATTTTACTTGTTCACGCTTCAAGAAAAGCAAGGTGGAACAAGCAAACAAACAAAAAAGAAATTTATCAATCGATTGTGAATGAAACAATCATTAAAAATCGAACCAAATCAATCAGATTGAATTGTGAATCAATCAAATGAATTGAACCAATCACATTGATTATTTTTGACGACCATAAACATTGACAATAATAATAATAACAACAACAACAAATGATTGGGACACACATTGGAGAATGTAAGATTGAAATCACCAAGATTTAGGATCACCATAATGATGGTGTTTTTTTTTGAAAGGGGGCTTCATGTGTGTGGAGAAATCTTTGACATTAAATTTTTTCTGTATGTGGATAGATATATTTCAAACATTTTCTTTCTAGTTAAAAATAGATTTTCCCTAATACAGAGAAATCAAAATAACAAAAAAAAACTGATTTTTTCTACTCTTTTTTCTTATTTGGATTTTCAGGTACGCCACATTTGTTTGATATACACACTTGGTGTAGATTTCAACATTCAATGATCGATTTGGATTTGAAATCGATCGAAACGAAGAGAAAAAAATCAACAATAAAATAATAACAAACAACGATTATATAGTTGGGTGTGAAAATAATAAGAAGAAATTTTATTGACAAATATAAGTTTGGTTGATTTACTTTCAATGGTTGACAATCAAATAAATTCATATATTTATTGGATTTGATTTGAAAGAATCAGTTTTTGTTTTCGTTTTTTTAATGAAATGAAAATTGTATTTGAAATCATCATCAATATGAAATGATTTTGTTCTTATCACAATATCCGATATAATTGATTGTCAATTCGTCAAGCATGGTGATGATAATAAGAAAATGAAAAATGTTCTGAATCAATTTCTACAGTAATGACAAATGATATTCATGATTGAAATTGAAATTCAATTTAACATACGACAATTTGATGTGTCGAATGTTTATCAACATAGCGTTTATTCATCATGTTAAATACAGATTCTATTCACATGAATGTTGATGATGATAATATCACAACAACTGCTACATTAACATCATTGTTGAATACGAAAGCTTTATTACAAGCTAATGATAATTATCATCTTCATTCTAATCAACATTTATGGATTACATATGGATGGTTAGGCATATGTATTACGACTATATTAGTGATTATATTGATCATATGTTCAACCATAATACATTATACATATCGAAGAAAATGGCGTACCCTAGATATATTATTAGCTGCCATTCTTATACAAGAATTACCGAATGCCATAATATTATTGTCGATATCATCGATCAAAAGTACCATAATACATTTACCTCGTTCATGGAGTTATACGTCAATGTATCAACATGATGATCATTCGAATTGGAATTTTTACGATATACTATTATGGTTATCGACATCAAATCGATTTTTTCAATTTGCCATCATCACATCATTGATTGTTGATCGAGCTTTTATTCTAAAATGGCCATATCAATATCGTTTCTCTGTTCGACATTCACAGATTCGTTTCTATATGATTACATTGGCATTAATTTCGGCAGTATTCGGTACGTTTGCTGTCATCAGTCACCAGAATCATCAATTTGATCGGTCACAATCGATGTCGGCAACAATAACAACAACAACTACATCCTCATCGTTTGATTTTGATCGATCATGGCCAACTATAGAAACAACTGAAATTAAAACCACAAACATTATCGATGACAATAACAGAACAACAACGACGGCAGCGGAGAATGGCACAATATCGACGATTGCAATCAAGCCAACAACAACATTATTGAATCAAACGAGCTATTATAATTCAATGATTCAATTCAGTTATAATCCATTGATATATGACATTTATTATAGCTACTTTTTTATCGCAATCTATGGGTTGTTAACCTTGATCTGTTTTGTTGCATTTCTTTATGTTGAATTAAATCGACCAAAAAATCATAATAACAATAATGATCCAATGACAAAAAATTCATCATCAACAACAACAGCAACAAAAAATCTACAATCGATATCGACATTGTTTGCAACAACATCCTCATCAACATCTACATCATCATCATTATCAACATCATCACCATTACCATCTCGTTTTTCATCATTTGCCAATCTGACCAACAATAATGCTGGTCAACAATCAAACAACAATGTATCAGCTGCTGCTGTCAATCATCAATCATCGATAAATACAGGTAAAACAACATTACTTCCATCTTTTTATTATCCCAATGTCAAACATCATGATCAACAACAACAACAACAACAACAACAAATGAAACAAATGGGAAATTCATTGAAAATCAATGATAGTGATGATTTATTTGATAATTCAAATAGATCTTTTCATCATCATCGACAACAACAACAACAACAACAATATAATAATGGTGATTCATCAATGATATCGTTAATAAATTCGACTAATAATAATGATAACGGTGATGGACATGATCCAACATCTGTCCATCTAAATGGAAATAGTGGTAGTACCGTTTTATCAGCTACATCACCAACAACAAACGGTACTACAAGTACATATACATCAATGACAACAACAACTGATAATAGTATACATCGTTTGATTGATAATAATATACCACATCAACATCAACAACAACAACAGCAACAAAAATGTGCCATCAATACATTATGTAATAATAGTAATTTAATTGGCTTCGATAATAATGGTGGTAGTGTCGGTGTTTCATCAATGATTCTATCACCATTAGATGTGTCAATCAATGCTACTGCTGCCGATTCTTATTCATTTCTAAAACAATCATTTAATAATCATGGATTATCATATCAAAAGAGTGGTTCACAATTAAAATTAAATATTTTAAATGATTCATTTGTGGATCATCATCATCATCACCATAATCGACATCAACAACAACAACGAATAAATAATTCGGCATTTGATTTGCGATGGTCATCGGTCATTGGACCAGTATTATTTTGTTTTGCCTTTAATCATGGTCCATTTTTGGTAAGTGTTTTAAATTCAAATAGAATTTTCAAAAAAAAACTTTTACCGTAACAAATTTTCAACTATTTTTCCCATTGTATAAAATTTCTATTTTAAACTTAAAAACATTAGAAAACAAAATTTATCCATTTTGAAATGAGGATTATAAACTTAAAATGGTCTTTGGATGTTTTATTTTCTTTGCTATATTTACATTTTGATGGGTTTTTGTTCATTTTTTTCGTTTTTCGATTTCATTTACACATCTTCTGAATAATTGAAATTATTATGGTTGTTTTTTTATCTAACGAGAAAAAAACTTTTAATTCATTAATGGTAGAATTCCATTTTGAATTGAAAAACTTTGCATCTCATCTTAGGTCTGTATGTTTTTTATTGAGCTATTTAGATTTTGTTTTTCGAGCTGATCGTAAAAAACAGAACACATTTAGTTGTCGTTATTGTTGTTTCAGAAAACAAATTCCATATATCATAAGCTGATGTGAAGAAAAAAATGAACAAATTTTTTCTCATTTATAACCATTATTTTCATAGTAAAATAGAAATTTTTTCTGCGATTCTTGCGTTTCTCATCACCATCAATGTTGACATCCAGATAATAATGATGATTGCAATGGTTTTTTTTCGAAACAAAAACGACAAATTTCCATTCCATTTATTGTTACTATCTTTGTTTTCTATAAAATTTTTTTCCGGAAAAATATGTTTTCTTTTTATTTTAGTAATATTTTTGAATCGTATGTATTTTAAAGGAAAATATTTTTCAATTTTAAAAAAGAAAAAATATCTTGGAAAATTGTCCATATGTTCAATGTATCCATAGTCACACAACAATCATTGTTTCCTCGGAAACATCATACATCCTTATTAAGAATTTCAAACAATTTCCTTCTATATCCGATTTCAGATGATCACGATGATCATCATCATCATTGATGATCACACGTTCATCGTTCACATTTTCAACATTGATTTTTTTTTCTTTAAAATAATGGGAAAAAAATCAATTTCCAATACATTATTCTTGGAATTTTTGCATAAAAGAACATAATTTTCAAATTTTTTTCTTCTTCACTCAAATTGATTTTAAATCTGACACCAACACACACTTACAAAATCTATTCAAATTGAATTATTGATTTTTAATGTAATTTATATACCAACGGTTATATAATCTCTTTTTTTTCTTTACATTAATAGAAAGTAATAATAATGTTTCTATTATGCATTACGGTTTTTTTTATTTGGAAAATATAAAATTCAATCATTTTAATATCCTAAGAAAAATATGAATGAATCATCTAAACCAGTATCTTAAATAAATAAAAAAACCAAAAATTTTTTATTCCCAAAAATAGATCATTCATACAACCACCACCACCATCATCATCAATAATGATGTATACATTTGTGAAAATCAAGTTCAATTTCAGGGCAATGTGTCTGTGTGTTTTTTTTTTGATGGATAAATATAGATAGGTTATTAGAGCTAAATATACAGGATGATTGAAGTAAACTTTCCTTCCATATTTGGCTATTTGATAGTTAATCTTTTTTTTTAGGAAATTTTGGTTTTTAAAAAAATATAAGATAACCACCATCATCATTATCTATTTTAAATCTCTTCATCAGGATCATTTGATGATGAAGATGATGATCATCATCATTATGAAGAGAAAATGTCTCATCATCATCAATGTTAAGAAGAGAAAATTCAATCTTTAATCCCTGAACATTATTTTTCTCATTTCATATTTTTTTTGGCCAATTCAATTTTGAATTGTATTTTATTTTTCATATTAAATCCATAATGATAAAGAATTTATTTGTATTCGTTTTTGTTTGCCATTGATCTCAATTGTTTTTTCTCTTCAATAACAACGATATTCAACCTTGAATATTTGACTCACAATGATGATGATCTCAGATTATCCAAATCGGGATAGTTTATCCATTCATTCATTCATTCATTTATTCATTCATCCATCATATTTGAATTGAATAGATTGATTACATTGACCAAAAAAAAGATGGATTGACAACAAGATCTTCATGAATCCAAGATTTGAATGAATTTCTTATCTATATGTTTGTTTTTTTTTCTTTCATATTCAAAAATGATAAATAAACAAAACAAAACATTGAATGCTTCAACATTGAGATTCAGTGTGGAAAAAAATTCACAAAATTTTCAATTTGATTCGGATCGACATACTTTTTTTACCATTTCTCCTAGTTTGGTTGCCGTTCGGCATTGATTCGCTTTTCGGATTGACCAAATTGTTCATTTTTTTTATTATCTGTTGTTGAATATCACCATTTTACATCATCACCAACAATTCACTGACCTAGCTGATAATAAATAAATATTGATTGTTTTTTTCTCTCTGTTTTGTTAAAAGGGAGATGTTTGGATATAAATTTGAAGTTTATGATGGTTGTTGTCGGTCAGTCAATCGGCTGTTCTGGTCTTTTCTCCTGCCAATAATAATGCATTTCCAACAACAAAAAAAAAGATGAAAAATTGATTTTTTTAAGCATTCGTCGGTGATGATTATTATTTTTTTTTTGAAAAAATAATAATTTTAAAACCTTTTTTTTCATTATTCTTTCGATGGATAAATGGTATATGGCTGTATGTTGCGGTATAGCCTGTTATTAGCCAGGTTTTTATTCATTCAAAAATGTGATAAAAGTAGATCAAATTTAACCTTTTTTTTCGTTTATCTTTAGAATATGGTGGTAGTGTTAACCCTGTTTTTTTCACTTTTTATTTTCTATTTTTTTCGGTTATTCAATAAAACCGTCAATCAATCAATCATTGAATGAATGAATGAATGAATGAATATGGCCTACACTTTTAAATTGAAATGGTTTTCTATATTTATAATATAAAAAAACAAAATTAGTTTTCATATTTTTCCATTAATCGAAAATTTTTTTTTACACCCAAATAAAATGTTTGACCATTGGGTATTGAGGATTTGTTTTTTCCTTTGAAAAAAGTAAAATAAAATGCCAATCAAAAACACATTAAAATCATCGGTTTGAACGTTTTCTTTTTGCTTTGGATTTACCAAAATCTACAAAGTGACAATTAATGTATTTTTTCATAGATAATATAACCGGAGTTATTTCTTGCTATACATATGTAATTTTCATTTTTGTTGTTGTTGTTGTTAATAACGAATATATTTATGTTTGATATAATCGCTACCTGTATTATTATCTGTAAACATTGAAATAAGCTACATTCATTTCGTTAATTTTTTTTTCTTTCCAGTTTATCTGTTAGATTTGTTAGTTAATAGTGTCGGATATCATTATCATTATCATCTATGATCAAGATGTGTGTATGTGTTTGTGCATTTAATTTTGATCCGATTTATAATAACGTTATCCATGTTGTTGTTGTTGTTGTTTTTTGCAAAAAAATGATGATGATTAACTTGTCATGACTTGTTAAATAAATGTGAATGAATGAATGAATGAATGTAACAAAAACATACGGAAATCTTGATCATATCAATGTGCATATACCATTTGACATTTCAACAACAATTTTGAAAAAATAAAATGTTCAAGTCTATAATCATAAAACAATATGGCATAATTTTTTCTAACTCAAATGATCTAAAATGACAATTTTTTTAACATTTCAAACACACATATGGATTTAATTTTCAAAAAATCAGCCGACCATTTCCGTTTTTTTTGTTGTTCATCATTCTAATTGTCTTTTGATGATGATGATGATGATAATAATTTCAATGTGATAATAATTCTTTACTGATCATATTTCAGTGTAAATCTTGATTATCATTCCATTCTTTATAAAAAAGAGATTTAATTTTAAAAGAAATTTTATTTTTAGAAAATTTTATTTCTCAATTTCTTTGTAAAAAGGGTCAATCCCACACACACATTTTTTTCATCTGATGATGATGGATTTTTTTTTCTCTGATTCAACTGACCTACCTGCCTGCTGCTGCTGCTAATGAAATTGTCCTCTACAAAGATTGTTATTTAACATGACCATCATCATCATCAAATGATGATCGTTGTTGTTGTTGTCAGTGTTTGATATAATCATGAACGATCGAAAATTTTGATCATCATCATTGTTTTTGTTTTGTTTCCGTTGTTTTTGTTTCATTAATTTACTTCAGGTTCAATTCGATTGATTGATCTTGAATTTTTTCTTTTTGGAAAATTCTATTCATGTCAAAAGATTTATAGCCTCGTTTTTCTTTCTCGTTTAATAATCAACAGATGATGATCACACACACACACACCTGTCTTTACCTTGTTTTTCGTTTTGTTGTTTTTCGTTCAATTATTTTGTCATAATAATTTTTTCAAAATTTATCATTTCATTTATGACGCGCCCATCTTTTTTTCCTATTCATTATCTATAGGAAGAAAAATATGGTGTTTATTTTTTCACAGAAACAAAACCGTTACAAATGTTCCTTATGGACTTATATATCTAAAAGGATGATGGTTTTTTTTTGTTTTTAAATTTATAAATGTATGTTGTGCGTGTCTATCTTGTCAATTGGGTTGATGTTTGAAGAAGAAAACAAAAAACTGGGCGCAATATCCGTATACAGAGAAAATTTTTCATTTTTTTCCACCTTTTCTCGATATAATGACCAAAAAAAAAACATCGGTAACTTGTTCATATATAATGTTTACACAATGTAATAATGATGATGATGATGATTAAAATCGAATAACATTTTATTTTCTTTTTGTTCTATAAATAGCTTAACCAAGAATCAAAAAGATGATGAACTGGGAAGAGAGAGGGAGAAAAACATGAATGAATTAAGAGTTTTTTTTTGAAAGACCTCACACACACGAAACATATGTTTGTTTGATTAAAATAAGAATTCTATTTGAAAAAAAAACTAAACAAATAACAAATTTGATCTTAAGCAATTAACCCTGTTGTGGTTATTTGTTTGATTAGGTTGAACTTGTGCAAATGAAACAAA